TCCCGCCAAAACCGTGTGACGTCAGTGGCACCGGATTGGTCACCGACAGCAATGTGGCACTGGGAGCCAATGAAAACCTCCCGTGGCGAAAGTGACGTCACGAAGGAAGGGGGTCCGGCCAGCGCGCCGGGCTGGCGCCAGCAGTCAGACACGACACGTCATAGAGGTCGGACGTGCGACGAGTGGTCCTATCTGTCGGACAGCTGTTTCCCACTACCGTGGATTTACGCGTCACCTGAAGTCCGCCAGTACTCTGAGAAGTCTTCCCTAGTTCATGTGTTGAACCAGAAGAGGGAATTGACGGTTATTTGAGCAACAAGTGCTCCAGTCAGGTACTGTGCCAGTAGCAGTGAAGCCGTGCAGTGACGTATATTGACGTCTGTGGCAATTCACCAGTTTGTGACAGCGTAGTGGCTGACAGAGCCACTGGGTAGCTGAGGAAGAGAGGACTATTTGGGGAAACCGAACGACTGTAGCTGAGACGTAGGCGACAGCCGTTGCTGGGAGAAGACGACGGCCAGGAGACCGACTCCAACCTTCAAGAAGTCAAGGAGGAGGATGGACCTGCAGTGAGGAGGCACGGAGACGACGCGCTAAACGGTGGGACGACGAGAGGCTCTGGTAGGACACGACGACGTGTAGTGTGGGGGCGTTCCCGACACGAGGACCAGGAGCTACATCTCGACTCTCATCGGAGGATAGGGTGAAGTAGGTGGTTTTAGTTCCCTCCCCATTCCCCTTTAGTGAGCTATATTATTTGGCTATATTATCTAGCCTGAAGATTTTATATGTCGTGAGCAAGTCTCACCTATGTCACGGTAAAGCACCAGGGTGCTAGACAGTACTATCAAGAGTACTTGTATTATTTATGTTGATTATTGGTGTGTACAGGCACCAGGAACCAGTGATAAATTTACTGTGTTGTGTATATCTTTCTATAGATTTTGATATGAACATATAGTGGTAAATTATATATAAGATTATGCCAGTATGTGGAGGTTAGGCTATGTGCCCAGAAACTATTTATTTTCCATGTATTGATGATTGATTTATATACCATATATATGTCTATGTTCATTCAGTGAATAATCATTTGTGAGTACAGTGAATTATTGCGTTATCGCCCACGAGAGAAAGTACTGAAAACTCCCGTGTTAATATTTCATAATATATTGTTGGATGAATAACAGTGTAAAGCCAGAACAGTGAATCATTATAGCATTGATTGTAGAAAAGACTGTTTGAGCCTGAGTACAGTGTAACTAAGTAATTCGGTTTATTTGTGCCAATATAGAGTGTGCGAGTTTCTAGTAATATTGGAGAATTTAAAGAAACCGCGCGCGTGAATCTAGCAAACAAGCAAATTTCGCGCGGAGAGACCATTTCGATCAGCTGTTCTTGACACTTGATGAGGAGGGGAGAGTGTTGCCCTCTAGCGGTCGCATAATATCCGTGGGAATTACCGGCCGAGTCAGGATCAGTTGATTTATCGATTATTGTGTGGCCTTGTGACATCTTTCATACATTTTAAGTAAAATACAAAACTCTCTTTGGTTTTTATCATCCCCTCCATTGATCTTGTGGCTATATTATACTGGTAAATATAGAGTGATAACAATAAGTACCCGCCTGATTCCTGATCTTTGAGTGTGACCTTGCCAAGGCTACCACTGAATACACCAGTCCACTGATGGTGTTATTGGCCACCTTAAACACCAATTGGCGACTTTGTGATTAACCGTAGAGCCCTATTGTTGGGGAGGGCACACGACGGTCGATGTGATCGAGTCGTGTTCTCACTCTTTCTTAATAAGAGGCCGTTAAGATTGACTGGGAGACTCTCCTGGCGTGCAGTGGCGCCGTGAGGATCGAGGGAAGACCCGCAGGGCTACGGTGAGTTACCTTGAGCATAACTATTGCTCACCCCAGAGTAAGGGTAGAGAATAATAGAGAGGTGAAACCCCCAACACCCTCCACCATCACCACCCTCACTACCGCTCCACCATCATCACACACACTACCCTTCCACCCTCACTAACCCTCCACCACTACCACCCTCACTAACCCTCCACCACTACCACCCTCACTACCCCTCCACCATCACCACCCTCACTACCCCTCCACCATCATCACACACACTACCCTTCCACCCTCACTAACCCTCCACCACTACCACCCTCACTAACCCTCCACCACTACCACCCTCACTACCCCTCCACCATCACCACCCTCACTACCCCTCCACCACAACCAACAACACTACCCCTCCACCACAACCAACAACACTACCCCTCCACCACTATCACTCACACTACCCCTCCACCATCACCACCCTCACTAACCCTCCACCACTACCACCCTCACTACCCTTCCACCCTTACCACCCTCACTACCACTCCACCAATACCACCCACACTACCCCTCCATCACTACCACCCACACTACCCCTCCATCACTACCACCCACACTACCCCTCCATCACTACCACCGACACTACTCCTCAAACACTACCACCCACACTACCCCTCCACCACTTCGACCCACACTACCCCTCCACCATTACCACCCTCACTACCCTTCCACCACTACCAACTACACTACCCCTCCACCACTACCTCCCTCACAACATCTCCACCACAATCACCCACACTACCACCCTCACTACCCCTCCACCACTACCACCAACACTACTCTTCAAACACTACCACCCACACTACCCCTCCACCACAAGCACCCACACTACCACTCCACCATCATCACCCTCACTACCCCTCCCCCACTACCCCTCCACCACTGCCACCCACACTACCCCTCAACCACTACCGCCCTCTCTACCCCTCCACCACTACTACCCGCACTACCCCTCCAACACTACCACCCACACTACCCCTCCACCACTATCACTAACACTACCCCTCCACAACTACCACCCTCACAACCCTCCACCACTACCACCCTCACAACCCTCCACCACTATCACCCTCACTACCTCTCCACCACTACCACCCACACTCCCCCTCCACCACTACCAACCACACAACCCCTCCACTACTACCACCCACACTACCCCTCCACCACTACTACCCTCACTACCCCTCCACCTCTTCCACTCACCCTACCCCTTCACCACTACCACCCACACTACCACCCTCACTTCCCCTCCACCTCTACCATCCACACTACCCCTCCACTACTACCACTCACACTACCTCTCCACCATCACCACCCTCACTACCCCTCCACCACTATCACCCACACTACCCCTCCAACGCTACCACACTTCCCCTCCACCTCTTCCACTCACCCTACCCCTCCACCACTGCCACCCTCACTACCCCTCCAACACTACCACCCTCACTTCCCCTCCACCTCTACCATCCACACTACCACTCCACCACTACCACTCACACTACCTCTCCACCATCACCACCCTCACTACCCCTCCACCACTACCACCCACACTACCCTCCACCTCTACCACTCACACTTCCCCTCCACCAGTACCTTTCCACCTCTACCACTCACACTACCCCTCCACCACTATCACCCACACTACCCCTCCAACACTACCACACTACCCCTCCACCTCTACCACTCACACTACCCCTCCACCACTACCACCCACACTACCCCTACACCACTACCACCCTCACTACCCCTCCACCACTACCAACCACACTACCCCTCCACCTCTACCACTCACATTTTCCCTCCACCACTACCACCCACATTACCCCTCCACCTCTACCACTCACACTACCCCCTCCACCACTACCACCCACACTACCCCTCCAACAATACCACCAACAATACCCCTCCACCACTACCACCAACACTACTCCACAAACACTACCAACACACTAAACTACCACCACTACCACCCACTAAGTCGTTGCCTGGTACTGGCTGTGTGAGAGAGGGCGTTGTTTGGTGTGTCAGCGATGTGGGGACCTCACTACCCCCCGTTCGCCGGACTGAAACGATTGGGTTTGAATTTTCTTGCCGAGCGTCGTACCCTGCTCTTAAGATTTTGTTACGGGATATGCTTCAAGTTCGTATGGCCGACGTGTACGGACTCCCGTTGTTAATGACCCACAGAACACTCGTGAAGTTTCGCTCTGTGGCAGTTTACGGGGTTTTTGTGGCAAGCTATGACGGGCGGACATTGACTCTCCCTGGGGACGGTGGTACCATCACTATTTTGGATCGTTGTTGTGCTGTCACTGCATTGTGTGCCTTTTGAATTCTCTGAGGCCCTACGGAGGTATTTTAACCAGTTTGGAACAGTGGTTTCCCTGCAAATGAACTTCGTCTCTTCCGGCAGGTGGCGTGGAGTCTCCTGTGGTAGTCGGATTCTCGAGTTGAGACTCAAGTCCCCAGTTCCCTCCTCAGTTACCTTGATGGAGTACACTCTACGGGCAGCCACATTCCTGTTTTCGTTGTGGCCTTTAGGGGCACCTGGCAGCCGATTGCTCTGGGGTCGCGACTGCACTCGTTAATCTGTTCCGGGAAGAGGACTTTCCCCCGTTGGTGTCGCAGGACCTGTCGCCAAGTGTAGGAGTGGGTGGGGAGGTTCCGCCGCCTGCTGACCAGGTGGTGGTTCCGAGTTCCTTGGCTGCTGGCCCAGCGTGTGTGGATAGTGGTGTCCATGACGAGGTATTGGTGTGTGCAGTTCTGCCCCCGCGGTCTGCCTCTTCGCTTCCAACGGCTTCTGCACCTGTTTCAGTCTCTGCTCCTCTGTCGCTTCTTTCTCCTGTCTCCTCTGTGGGTGGCGGTCTCGTCCCCCATGTCGTTGAGGCTGAAATTCGGCTTGGTCGTGCTCCCCTGGTTGTGGGGCAGCATGCCGCTGGCTCTTCTTGGATGCCTCCTGTAGGGGGTGATAGCTCCGATGACCAACGGCCTGTCCCCAAGCGTTCACATACAGATACAGGTGCTTCGCCTTCTCGTACATAGGCTGAGGAATTTGAGGATGTGGCGTGTGTTGATGATTCATCTACGAGCTACTCGTATGTGGAGTGCGAGGATGGTGCGTCTGGTGCTGGTGTGGTTCCGGTGGATGGTGTAGGCCCTGGTGTGGCTCCTGCTGTAGGGGTGGGAGCCGGTGTGGAGCTTGTGGCTCTTGCTTCGGGTGCGTCACCCACGTCGGATGGTTCCGGTTCCTCGTGGGGGTTGTTTCCCCTTAGCGAGGTTGAGGGTGAGTGTGGCAACCTGGTGGTGGTGCTGAAGAAAGCTGCACGCTCTGAGGGTTCCGTGCCCCCTCCCCTGTTCCCTATTTCGTCGTCGGCGGTTTTGCCGCCTCTCGAGTCTACGGCCGTTTCTTCTGTGTCTCCTGCTTTGTCGGAGGAGGTGTTACCGCCACAGCAAACTCCGCCCGCTGTTCCTGTATCTGCTGCTTCTACGGTGAAGGTGTTTCTGCCTTGTTCTTCGTCTTCGGTGTCCTCTGGTTCGGGGTGTTTGCTTTCGCCAGATTTCGTGGTTCCTGAGTATATGCCGTACCCGCGGCGTCGTGGGGGCATTTCCCCTACCGAACAGGAGTATTTGATATGGGAGGCTTATAAGAGGAAGTATCCATCGAGAGTGTTCCCTGAGAAATATGATACCTGATTACTTGTTGTAGCATTGCTTGCGCCTGGCGTGGTTGTGGGGTGGTTTGTGTGCATTATACTTTTTTCAAATTTGTTATGTCTATGATCTATTTACTGTATTATGAACATTGCTTTGTTGCTTTGTACTACATCACATAACTATGTTCTATTAACTATGTCATGTTTCCTATGTTCTGTTTACTAGTTTATATGTACTGTGTTGTATGGTGTTTGTTGTATTCCTTTGTTATATTTACTATGTTCTACTTACTATGATGTATTTCCAGTGTTATATTTACCATTTTCTATTTCCTGTGTTTCGGATCTGTGTTCACAATTTGTTTTTCATTGGTGCTGTCTTCGTTTGTACACAGGGTTTGTGTTTCATGGGGCATGTATTTTTTGCCTGCTGTATGTCGTCTGTGTATTCTGTGATATAGTTATGTGGTATGGTGTCTGTTGTTGAATGGCGTGAAACGTGGTGCATGTGTTTAGGTTTTGTTTTACGAAGTATATATATATATATATATATATATATATATATACTTTTGTTTTGTTTCCACATTTGGGTTCATTGGATTTTTATGTAAATTTTTGTCGTTACAGACACCTTTGGCACTCCCCATCTGGGTAATGCAGCTTTTGTATTTTTGTATGTTCCTATTTATTTTTTATTGTTCTTTGTTTATCTTTTATGGTCTATTGCTCTGTGTGCCATGTTATCTGTATTATTGTCATTCTGTGTTATCCTGTGCTTTCCGGTTGGATGTTACTGTGTACGCTCTGTGTTGTTGTTTTTTGGTATTGGTGCTTCAGCATCTTTTATTCTGTATTTACTTTGTTTTACAAATTAAAAAAAAGCAAATAAAAAACTACCACCCACACTACCCCTCCACCACGACCACCAACACTACACCTCCACCACTTCCACCAACACTACACCTTCACAATTTTCACCAACACTACTCCTCAAACACTACCAGCCACACTAAACCACTACCACCCACACTACACCTCCACCACTATCACCCACACAACCCCTCCACAATTACCACCCACACTACACCTCCACCACTATCACCCACACTACCCCTCCACAACTGCCACCTACTCCTCCCCCTTTACCGCTACCACCCACACTACCCCTCCACCGCCATCACTAAAACTACCCCTCCACCACTACCAACCACACAACCCCTCGAACACCACCACCAACCACACAACCCCTCGAACACCACCACCGACACTACACCTCAACCACCATCACCTACACTACCCCTCAACCACTACCACCCACACTACCCCTCCACCACCATCACTAAAACTACCCCTCCACCACTACCAACCACACAACCCCTCGAACACAACCACCCACACTACACCTCAACCACCATCACCCACACTACCCCTCAACCACTACCACACACACACTACCCATCCAACCCCACCACCCACACTACCCCTCCACAAATAACACAAACACTACCCCTTCGTCCTAAACTCCACTATCCTCTCCTACACACCACTACCCCCTTCTCCTACACACCACTAACCCCTCCTCTTACACACCACTACCCCCCTCCTCCTACACTCCACTACCCCCCTCCTCCTACACTCCACTACCCCCTCCTCCTACACTCCACTACCCAATCCTCCTACACATAACTACACCCTCCTCCTACACACCACTACCCCCCTCCTCCTACACTCCACTACCCCCTCCTCCTACACACCACTACCCCCCTCCTCCAACACTCCACTACCCCCTCCTCCTACACACCACTACCCCCTCCTCCTACAAACCACTACACCCTCCTCCTACACAACACCTCCCCCCCCCCACCAACACTCCACTACCCCTTCCTCCTACACTAAACTACCCTGTCCTCCTACACACCACTACCCCTTCCTCCTACTCACCACTATCCCCCCCTACATACCACTACCCCCTCCTCCTACACACCACTACTACCTCCACCTACACACCTCTAACCCCTCCTCCTACACACCACTATCCCCTCCTCCTACACACCACTACTCCCCCCTACACACCACTACCCTCTCTGCCTACACACCATTAACCCCTCCTCCTACACTCTACTACACCCCTCCTCCTACACACCACTAATCCCTCCTCCTACACTCTACTAACCCCTCCTCCTACACACCACTACCCCCTCCTCCTACACACCACTAATCCCTCCTCCTACACTCCACTACCCCCTCCTCCCACACTCCACTCTCTCCTTCTCCTACACCCCACTACCGCAACCTCCTATACACTACTACCCCTCCTCCTACACTCCACTACCCCCTCCTCCTACACCCCACTTCCCCCTCCTCCTACACACCAATATCCCCTTCTCCTCCACTCCACTACCCCCTCCTCCTACACACCACTAACCCCTCTTCCTGCACGCTACTACCCCCTCCTCCTATACCCCACTACCACCCTCCTTCTACACCTCACTACCCCCCATCTCCAACACCCCACTACCCCCTCCTCCTACAAACCACGAACCCCTCCTCCTAGACACCACTACCCTCTCCTCATACACCCAACTACCCCCTCCTCCTTTTACTACACTATACCACCTCCTCCTACACTCCACTCCCCCCTCTCCTACTCACACCTACCCCCTCCGCTTGCACACCACTACACCCTCCTACACTCCACTACCCTCTCCTCCTACACACAACTACCCTCTCCTCATACACTCCACTACTCCCTTCTCCTACACCCCTCCTTTTACACTCTGCTACCCCCTCCTCCTACACCTCAATACCCCCCTCCTCCAACACAATACCACACCCCGTATCATACACACCACTACCCCCTCCTACATTCCACTACCCCTTCTTCCTACACACCGCTACCCCCTCCTCCTACACACCATTACCCGCTCCTCCTACACACCACTCCCCCCTCTTCCTACACACCACTACCCCCTCCCCCCCTCCTCCTACACACTACTTCCCCCTCCTCCTCCACACAACTACCCCCCTCCTCCTACACTCAACTACCCCCTCCTCCTACACACCACTAGCCCCCTCCTCCTCCATTCCACTACCCCCCTCCTCCTACACTCCATTACCCCTTCCTCCTACACCCCACTACCCCATCATACTACCCACCACTAAACCCTCCTACATTCCACTACCCTCTCCTCCTACACTCCACTACCCCCACCTCCTACACACCACTACCCCCCTCCTCCTACACTCCACTTCCCCCTACTCCTACACTCCACTACCCCCTCCTCCAACACTCCTCCTCCTCCTACATCTCCACTACCCCCTTCTCCTACACTCCACTACCCCCTCCTTCAACACTCCACTACCCTCTCCTCCTACACTCCATTACCACCGTCCTCTTGCACACCACTACCCCCTCATCCTACACTCCACTACCCCCTCCTCCTACACACTACTATACCCCTCATTCTACACACCACTACCCCCTTCCCCTACACTCCACTACCCCCTCCTACAACTCCACTACCCCTTCTCCTACACTCCACTACCCCCTCCTTCAACACTCCACTACCCGCTCCTCCTACACTCCAATACCACCGTCCTCCAACACACCACTACCCCCTCATCCTACACTCCACTACCCCCTCCTCCTTCACCCCACTACCCCCAACCTCCTACACTCCACAACCCTCTCCAGTGGTGGAAATGGCCCCTATGCCCGTCCATTTTTATTTTTTTGATGGACGGGCATAGGCGCAGGGGGGTTATCCATATGTCTGCATGGACAGTCATAGCATAGGGGGGTAATCTCTCTTATTTTGCCGACAGACGGGCATAGCATAGTGTTTTTCGATTTTTTTTGTTTGCTACAGGCACAATAACCCAGGGGGTCTTTTCATAATTTCATATCATTTATCAATCTCACCTATGAATCATATATTATTTTCCAAAAATGTGTATTAAATGGTAGCTTCCTCGTCCCTGCCATTTCGCTCAAGGGGATTAAAAGGCCGGCTCCTAGTGCACTCAAATTTCGTTGCACCGGTGACCCTGCACAGACATTGCTAAAGGTCAATGACGTCACCCCGTCTTCATCTTCCCTGAATAAGTCGGTTTTCTGTTATAGTGTATTCATTCCCATTTTCAATATTTATAGCAAAGGAGGATTCAAATGCTGCCTTCTGTCATGCATAATGTGCAATGGCATTAACCATTATAAGCTCGTTTTTCACAATAAGGTATTACCATACTGTTTCCCATTGTCTAAGATCATTTTAACATAAGAAATGATTTCAATCCTGTTACAGAACCAGTATTTACCCAGGTCATTTTCCTAAATCTAAAACTTATTCCAATTTATGCCCATTGTTTCGTGTTTATAGTATTAATAGCCCATTAATATCCCTTTTGCCATGTTTCCCCTATTTCTTCTTTGCCTTTGTAGATAATGCAATTTAAATTTGGTCAATCTGTCTTCATGGATTGCTTATTGAGGATAGGGCAAATAAAAATAAAAACCCACTATCATCCATTTGTATGAAAACAATCTCCTGCCAGGCGTGGTGACTTCAATGCAATTTCAGTAGTAATCCAATATTGCTGCATAAATACATGAATATATATGCAAGTGTATAAATATATATGCACATCTCACATTCGCTCAAAACATGCCTCCCACACCTTACTGTAGCATATAACAAATCAAAATACTCATTCAGTAAAAGCAATCCTCTAATGTTTTGAAATAAGGCCTTCTTCAGTTACCTTCTTTTCTGACGTCATCACCCCTAATGCGGTGCAAGGCGTCAATGAGCTCAAAAGCTTGTAGAACGTGCTAAATGCGGATCCTAGGAGGTTCACACATTAGTGCAAACTCTTACTCAGGCTTAATACCCCAACTGTATTCTGTGCTTCATCAGAGTTGATTTTCAGCTACATTGGCTCGTATTTTCGCT